TCAAGTTTCCAAAAACCAAAACCAAAACCCAAACCCATCACCTAAACCAAATTTTAGAAATCCAAAAAATGAAAAATTCTAACACCATTTTAGAATTGAACTGTAACCCAAAACCCAAACTAAAAAACCCAAAAAAAGTTCAAAACTCATAATTAAATTTACCTAAAAACTCAGAAATCAAAAACCTAAAGAAAATCCAAAAAAATCTTTAATCTTTCAATTGCTAATTGCCTTTTATGATCTCTGTATAGTTGATTTCTACCCTTGATTTCTCTATCATCCCCTTGTAATATTTGTTTATCTTTTTTTTAATAGGGTTTTAATCCCCTTAATTTGGAAACAAATCAACTAAATGAATGCGATTTGATTTCTAGGATTTTTCCTTTTTTATGACAATCAGAATCAAAGCTAATCCCTTAATCTGTTACTGACTTGTAAAATCCCATGATTTGTTTCCTTTTTGCCCTTGATTTCGATTCTTGGATTAATTTCAAAATTTTTTAGATTTCAACAAATTTTTTTTAAATAAAATAAGATATATTTGGACTTAAAGCCATCAATTCAAACCCCAATAAACAAAACCAAATTTGAAGATCAAATAATCTGACTCCAAAACAAAATTATCAAAATAACTAAATGAAATAAGGTATCTACAGCTATTCCTGAAATAGAGATGATGCAAAGACATAAATAATTATTGTGTTCGATTCACTTAAAAATTTTTTAAAAGAATCCTCTAAATAGAGACATGCGACTTTCAAAAAATTTTAAAAAACTTTTTTAAATAGAGACATAAAGCTTAAAAACTTCAAATAACTCTTTTAAACATAAGCTTAACAAAATACTAACATTAAGAAAATGGGAATTTGATGGCATTTTTTTAGCAACGTTTCCTAGCAAATATCATTATTTAATGTGTTAGTATAAAATTATGGCATTTATGTAATAAAATCCCACAAAATAATTATTCAATTTTATTATTTTGAAAATATAATTTCATAAAATTTATCTTAAAACTTCTTTGTTGTTTAACTGCATTTTTATTGAAAACGCCACAAACATGATAGCGTTTTGTTTGAAAATGCTGCAAATAGTATATATTTAGCGGCGTTTTGCTTAACAAACACTGCTAAATGTCATTTTTAGTAGCATTTATTATTGTTAACGCCACCAATTTTTCCCTAATTTAAATATGATGCACGCCTATTTCCCCGTTCCCTTCTCCCCTAAATTCTTCCCTTTCACTCTCTGATTTGCTTTCTCCTTTCTCCTCTCGCTCAGTGTCTCCTTCTTTCTTATAAAATCAGTGAAGTGAGTGGCCTCTGCTTTCCTTTTTTTATTTTCATTTTACATGCTGTTAACAAATATTGGGTTGATAATTTGTTAACAATTTTGTTTATCGTGCTAAAATTTTACTAGAAAATGGAATTAAAAGCTGCCGTTTGTACTGATAGAGATGGCAAAGACTAGGTCATTGGAACCAGTCAACATGCTTTAGTATTTAGGATCCTTAGGTGGTTCAGTGAGTTTTGTTGGTTTAGTGTAGTATCTGAAAAAGGAACTGGACATGTCGTATTGGATTAGACGGTAGATGCTGATGGTGGTGTTGCATAGTTCGATGCAGGGTACTAAAATGAAGAGTAGAGCGACCACTGAGTACATCGATTCTAGCATTTGGGCAGTGGGCACCGGATTTGTTTAAGGCTGCCATCGGATGGAAGTTGTGGAATGACTAGATTTACTGTTTGGAGAGTGTGGAAGGATAAATTTATTTATTTATTTTGGGGTTGGATTTTAGTGGGTTAAGATTTTTGTTAAACTTAAAACTTAAAGCTGAACCTAGTGCTGAACAAAAATGCTTTACCTGAAGCGAGCCACAAAGTAGCTGATGCTACGACAAGACACCTACGAAGCAAATAGAAGATATGTGCAAAAACAAAAAAAAAAAAAAGAAAATGAAAGAGTGAAAAATCAAGAGAAATTTGTAACTTTTGATCGTGGCTAGAGATGGAGAATAAATGAGAGAGATCATAGTTTTTTAATAGAATTTGGGATAATAAAAGTGATGAAAATTGTTTTTTATTGGAAAAAAAAAAAGATAACTTTTGTATGTTATGATATAATTTTTTTTGTTGACCCAAAAATAAATTTCGTTGATCAAGCTATTAATATTTTTTTAAATACTAAACTATGCGAAAAATGACTTTTAGAATCGATTTTTCTAATTACCAAACGGAGCGTTATTTCGTTTTTCTACTTTAGTGACTTTACCAAATTTGATTAGAAATTGATCAACTACAATTTATTAATTCATTTAGGTCTTCGACAAATGGGCAAGAGGCAGGTGGATGTATGCAAATGAGACGGAAAGACCATCAACATTCCATCAACCCCAACGTTGGAATTGGAGCACGTTGATATTTATGAGTGTGGAAATTTATGTACCAACCAACTTGTTGAACTTATTCAAAGATGATGAGATCAATGTGAAGGGAAAAATCTGGCTTAAAAAATATATTTGATTATAAAATATTTTAAATAAATTTAATTTTAAAATATATTTTAAAATATTAAAATATTATAATAACAACTGTTTTTTTTTTTAATATTTCAATAACAAATTTCAATAATATATGAATTTAAATGAGCTTACGTGAGTTGACCGAGACTCTGGCAGATATTAACCGAACCCAAACTCATAGACAACTAAGTTACATGACTAGAGAAACGAGTTACCCTGAAAATGACTAGCAGTAGTCCTGGTACATATATTTCTCAAACTAGTGTAGTTAATTAGATTTTAGCTTTACATACAATCATCGTAACCAATAATAAATGATGATGTTTTGAATTGTACCCGGTTACAAAAACCATTCAGCGTAAATCACTATAAATCCCTATGATATTTTCTTTTTTAATCAAAAACTCATTATTGAAAAACAAAGAGTAAACCCTTTTCGTAATCCTATTTCCATCGGAAGAGTAGTGAAAACAGAAATGGGGAAATAGCAATAAAATTAACATAAATTTTCATAAAAATAATATAATCTTTGAAAAGTTACATAAAATAAAAGTACCTTCAGTTAAAATAATTATTTTTTTATCTTATCTTAGAGAAATAATTAAATAAAACCCTCCGTTATGAAAGTTTGCAGAAAAAAATTCGTTGTATTTGTTTATAATTATATATAATATTTTATTATAATATATATTTGATAAGATTTGTCACATAAATCCTTATGCATATAGTCTTTTTGGATGACACGTAAAATAACACTAAATAATCATATTATATAGTATCAAATTAATCAAATATAAAAAACTTTTAAATTAAATCATTAAATCATAATAAATATTCAAACACGATTTGAAAACGAATAAAAAGATATATGATTATTTATTTTATTATTTAAATTCATTTAAATTGATAAGAATATATATGAATTATCATTTAAAATTTTTGATTTAAAAACTTTAAAACATTCATCTTAATCTATTTTTTAAATTTTTAGTTAAATAAATGGATAAAAACATATATTTAAATAATGACTAAAAATATATTCAATTATTTATATTGTAAAATACTTAATATAAAATTAAAAACATAGTAAGTTTTTGCTATTCTAAATAGTAAGAACACAACTCCTTCTTCTTCCTTTTTTTAATATTTCTCCCTCCAAAAACCACACCAGGTTTTTAACATCGTAAAAGCTTTGTCTTTGCATTTTCATGTTAGTGGTGTTATTAGCTGATGGAGGCAGGTCACAACTTTTCTATGATTGGTCTGTTTTTTACTCTGAACGAGCCCCTCTTGGCGTCGACCTATTATATCTTAAATCAGGTTTATTAATAATTATATGTATGTATATTATAAGATATGTTGCCAGAAAAGTTAATTGGATATAGCGAATTAGGTGCATGTCATGAAAGTTTTCTCTCTCTTTGTCAACAACATTCCACCAGAAGTCCATTGGAGGTGGCTGCAAGATATCTTTCATTACTATGGACAAGTTGTTGATGTCTTCATTCCACAAAAAAGAAGCTCTCAGGGGAGAAAGTTTAGTTTCTTTCGATGTGTAGTGTATGGAAGTGCTAAAAGGGAAGTGGATAGTTTAAGCCACATCCAACAAAGCAAATGATCTATCCACACAAAGGGCAACCAGAAAGAAGCTTAAGCCAATGAGACAAGTGGTAATAGCAAGCCCCAAGGAAGGTTCTAACACCGCAAATGCACCTGTAATGAAAGCTATCACCATTGCTCCAACTGCAAAGAGAGTGCATCTATAAGCGTAGGGATATGAAGCAAATGACTTTTGAGATCGAGGCCGTGCCATAAGAAAGTGGAAGAGGACAGCTAAAAGAGAGGAAACCACGGCTATGGCATTGGAGATAACAAACATATTAAAAGCTGCATTACGAATTAGGATAGCAGTGCCCTCATCTACGCCTTTTTCAGTTTTGTAGCCGCCGGGTATGGTGAATGCTGCAGCAAAGGTTACTGTTGCTATTAGCGCCGCCACTACTAAATGTGACTCTCTTGCTTTCTCGAAACCAAACGGAGCTTTCCTATACAGTCGTATGGGACGAAACGGTACCCCTGCCACCTCTCCACTACCAAGCTCTGTCAACAAATTCAAAATTTGTTCCTGCAAGCAAGCTTCATTATTATTTCAAGGAAAGCAAATATTGGATAGACAAGAAATTTGATCTATGTAACAAGATGATTCAATCTATCCATATTGTTTTTATTTAATTTTTTTTAATAAAAAAATTTACAAATTTTACATAAATAACTTCGTCCAGATCTTTCCTTAAAAAAAAAAAAAAGTTTTGTTGTCACATTGATTGCATAAAAATCAATGTTATACATGTATCAGAAACTGAATACTAATGTTATTGATAATGTTATATTTTAATGTTAAATAAAATCTCCAAATGTAATTAAGCCATACTAAGGTAAATGTCCACAATGCAATTAGTAGGATGGACAGAGGACTTACCTCCTCTTTCATAGTAAGATTTTCCTTGCCAAGTTCCATTTTATCATTTGTACACATCATAGCAGTTCCATACCGATTAGGGCGAGAAGTTACGAGCAGTTGGAGAGGCGTGTTGCCATGTTCATCCTTCTGACTTAAAAGATTTTCCATTGATACATATCTGATACCAATATCATCTCCAAAGAATTGACGCAGTGGAAGACGATATAGAGTAACCGCAGCAAAGTGCAGAAAATTCCAGCCTCTTTTGTCCACTAGTTCACAACAATCTGGACAATGGCGGATAATCTCTTTCATTATTGATGCATGGCTTTGCCTTGCGGCCATGTGAAGCGCGGTCATCTTTCCCTCGAAGTCGACTATGTAGGAAGTAGATTTGTCGCATTCTAATATTTGTTTCACAATTGAACGATAACCTAAATGTGCAGCAAAGTGAAGTGGACTCCGACCATTGTCGTCTGTTTCGCTTGCCAAAATCTTTTTCATCTTTAGTATTATCCTTACCGTTTCTAAAACCCGGAATAAAAAAACGAAAAGGAAACTCTATTAGTGAACAATTTTCAAGGTCAATAACACAAATGAAGAAGAAATTCTCGTGTACAATATCCCAAGGCCACTATATAGTTTGATTTGCTTAATTAATTATGGTAAGTCTCTTAATTCTCTGCAAAGTAGTTTGAGGTGGCAGAAACTATTGAAGCTTAGACCAATTGTCTTTTCCTTTATTCAACATCAGAATGGGAGAGAAGTTTGGTTGAATTTTGCTGTACAGCCAGATGCTAGCACTTGGAGGCCATCAGATCAGATATAAACACGAGAAGGTAGATTGCCATAGTTTGATGTGGCTTAAAATCATATACCATGGCATTGGCACCATGCTATAGTATATGGCATGCACCATAGATGGCCATCTTGTATTGTTTACCAACAAAATAGAGGAATAATTCTTGGTTACCAAATTGACTGCTACATGAGTAGTCTGGTCTGGAGGTCGATCGAGGAAAAGTAGCTTGCACTTTGCAAGTACTTGGGTGTATTTTTCAGCTGTGGGCACCAGCTCAAGATAGAAGACTAGGTCGTAGCCCGCGGGTACTTTAAGCTGAAATTATTAGATTTATTGCCTGTGATTACTTTAACATAAAATTATAACTAGATTACTTGTCAATGATTAATTAGCATAATCTTGAAAACATATTAATTTTTATTTCATGGGATTCTTGCCCATTTAAGTATGTTCTAGTACATTTAACAAAATGATACTTTGCCTCGGTCACTTAATTATTTGTCTGAATAATTTACAGTATTGAGTTTTTTTGTATGTTCATTGATAAAATATAATATTGGAATTAATATTTTATCTCCACAATAAAAACGCATAATTATTAAAAACTCCACCTTTTATATTTTCTTATTTTATATATTACTGTGCAATATTATTCATCATTTAATATTTTATGTATTTAAGCTAACAATTATGTTGTCTATCAGTTAAATTTAAAATTTTAGTAAGCAAAATTCAATTTTCGACAATATTAAATAAAAAAATTAATGCAACAATTAATAAAAGAATAGATCAATAATTCAATAGTAAACTTACCTCTATCATTTGCCATGACCGCCGCATGCAAAGCGGTCGTACCTTTAGGGCCAGCATGAGCCACCGATTTGCATTTAGTTAACATCTCAGCCACCAAATGATGATATCCTCTCCTAGCCGCTATGTAAAGTGGAGTCTCACCATATTTATTTGCAGGGTATACAAAATCAGGGTCCGCTTCGACTAATGCTCGCACCACTTCAAGATGGCCATATCGGGCTGCAATATGCAGAGGAGTATTTTCTTCCTTATTATCTCTTATTCTCAGCATTTCCTTGGCTGCTTCTATCCCATTCTCTAGGTCTCCTTGTTGAGCAAATTTAGCGCGTTCCAAAAGCAATTTCACAGTAGGACGATGCCCGTACCTGGCTTCAATGTGTAGTGGAATTTCACCTTTGGCATTGGCTTGTAGTAGCAATGATGAGCACTGATTAAGGAGGTGCTCGACGAATTCGGTGGATCTCAAGGTCGAAGCTCGGTATCTGTAATAAATGAAGTAAATCATATGAAAAACTATAGCCTTGTGCCTTCGGTTTGCCAAGTAAACATGGAGGACTGTGTTTTGATTTGGGGTAACAATGCGTTCAAGACGGCCTTTGTAATCATTGAATGCTTCAATTTTGCCATCAACTGCAGCTTTGTACAAATCAACGTCCATGTACGTAGCAGTCTCTACGTTTTCTTGGATCTCAATGTCCATTTGGTTGCGGGAGGCTGTCCTAGCTATTTTAAGGCTAATTTTATCGTGGGCTATTTCTCAAAAATTTTTTGCATTCAGTTGCGTTATCGGTCTAATTCTTTTTATAAATACTGCAGTTTTGCTTTTTATTGTTCACTTCATTCATTATTTTTTTTCTTTTTAACTTTGTCTCTTTTTTTTTTAAATTTTTTTGGTGGATCCCATCATTTTTCTTTTGGTTTTTTTTTATATATATTTTATTTTATTATTTCAATGAGACTCGTGAAACCATGTAGGTTTTGGTCTATTAATTTTGGGGAACTTTAACCTTTGATATTTAAAGAAAGAAAAGTGCATCCAATATAAAAAATTAAATAAATAATAATTAAAAATTTTTAATCATACCAATAGGCACAGGATTTTTAATTTTTTCAATTTTTATCGGAGATTATTTCTTAAAAACTTTTTGCATTCAAATGCCTAATTGGCTTAATTTTTTATATAAATGTTGCACTTTTGCTTTGTACTGTGCACTTCATCACTTTTCCTTTTACTTTGTTTCGCTTTTTTTTTTCTCTTCTTATGGTGGGTTCCATTTTTCATTTTTCATTTCAAAATTATTTTAACTTTTTTATATATTTTATTTTATTATTTCAATGAGACTCGTTAAACTATAAATCATGAATGTTGTGATCTCTTAACTTTGGGGAACATTAACGATTGCTATTTAAAGAAAAATAAGTTTATCCAATATAAAAATTAAATAATAATTAAACAATCTTTAATCGTACCAATTACAGGATTCTTTAATTTTTCTAATTTTTATCAGACTATTTCTCAAAAACATTTTGCATTAAGATGCGAGATTGGCCTAATCCTTCGTATAAATATTACAGTTTTATTTTTCATTTTGCACTCGCGTTACCTTTCTCTTTTTTGCTTTGTTCTTTTTGTTTTTTTGTTTTTTTATCTTATGATGGGTCCCATCTTTTTTTTTTGTATTTTTTCATTTTTCATTTTTCGTTTTAATTTTTTTATATTTTATTTTATTACTTCTATCAGACTTATTAAAATTTATGGTTATCAGTGCTCAAATTTTACGTCCATGTAAGTGATGGAATCAGCTGGCTGAGGTTGACTATCTATAACAAATTCAGAGGAAACATAGTAGATCGATGAGGGATCCATTTCTGTCTCCGACGCAGCTTTTCTTTGGAGCAAACGGGGAACTTGGGGAGGCAAGCGTGTGGTTTGAAATTGATGCCAAAGGTGTGATTAATTCTTATCAGAAAACTCGCCCGTTCCCTTTGTGCTCTAATTACGTATTGGTTGACGTCAGATTCCAGTCAACTGAGATTTTCCACACTGAAGGAAGAGATCAAAGCAACACATCACTTTTTACTGTGCACTCCACTCATCGTTTTCTCTCTTTTTGCTTTGTTTCTTTGTGTCCTTTTTACTTTTTTTTTAGGTGGTGGGCCCCACCTTTTTTCTTTTGTTTGTAACATCAAAGCCAGAAAGGGGACATCTCCTCTCCTAGCTGCTTTGTAAAGTGGAGTCTCCTAGTTTCTATTAACAATATATGAAGAATCTGGGCCTTGAAACTTCAGCAATGCTTGCTTTACAAGTGAAGGAATGATCATTAATTTTATATAAATATAAATAGGCAAGGCAAATAAGTTTAGCATCGATATTCCAAATTCGAAGTCCGAACCCAGCGCACCAAAATGATCATCGGTTGAAACCGTGTTGTGATTGGGGAAGAGAACAACACAGCTCTGGCTACCTATAAATTAGAATCCATGAACGTTGTGGTCTTTTAATTTTGACAAACCTTAAAGATTAATATTAAATGTAAAAAAAATTGAATAATAATTAAACAATCTTTAATCATACCAAGAGGCATAGAATTTTTTAATTATTCTAATTTTTACAGTAAACTATTTCCCAAAAACTTTGTCTTCGGATGCGTGATTGGCCTAATTCTTTATATAAATAGTGCACTTCTGCTTTTGACCGTACACTATGTGCATCACTTTCCCCTTTTTTATTTTTTTACTTTGTTTTTTTTTTTTTTTTTTTTTTTTTTTTATGATGGGTTCCCACTCTTTTTTGTGTATTTTTCTTTTTTATTTCAAAATTTTTAAAATTTTTTATGTATTTTATTTTAACAAAAAAACATATATAATTTTTCAAAAATAAAAATATATATTTTAATTAGTATGAAATATGACGTAAAATTTTTATATAAAATATAATATAAATATATAAATTTTTATTATTTTACATAATATTAATATTCAAATTATTAAGTTTACCTACAGCAACGTGCAAATACCTTTATAGTGAGATTAAATTAAACACAAATTTGACAAATTGCACCATTTCATCCTATGTGTTCACAACATCTACCCATAATTATTAATTTGGTTTCGATACCAATTATATCAATTGATACACTTTAATCATACTAAAATATGATATACTTAAAGATAGTTTTTTTATATCGAATTTGATACCGTGTAGTATTAGTTATATTCGTTGGTTTTGATCGATTTTATTATATTTTGGTGAATTAGCATGTTTTGGCCATGTGAAATATATTTTATAATTTATAATTTATATTTTATTATTTAACTAATTTTAACTTAATAAAAATAAAATTAATTGATAAAATAACTCTTGAAAGTTAAATTTTCTTGTCTTTTATTGTAATTTATTTTCTTTTATACGTTATTTTTTAAACCAAAATTTATAAGTATTTCAATCTCTTTAAAGAAAAAAAATAATTATACTCCTTTTATAAAGTTTAACAATCATAAGGCCTTAGTTAATTTTTTAAATCTTTTTGTTTTTATCTTAATAGTTACATAAAAAATATTTATTTAAATATCATACGATCAAATTCAATATTTAAAAATATCATAAAAATTTTATGATATTATTTTTTATATTTTTAAACTTATTTATTTGATTTTTAAAAATATTACATATTTATTTTATAAATTATTAATAATATTATAATATATAAGTTCATGCATATTTATAAATATATTTGTATTAAATCAAAAATTTTGAAATAATATACCAAAATAATTGGTATTGACATACACCATACGATTTATTAAAAATCGAAAACGTTATATGATACAATTTTAACAATCTTGCATCTACCTCTTTCTTCATTGACAAATATCAAGTTGGCAATTTTAATTACTACTACATGAAACTAGAAAATTACAAAATAAGATAGAAAAGCATTAAAATAGTCGTAGAACATGTTAATGTCGGTTAGACTGATACGTTTATTTGTTAGGCCTGATCAATAGGTGTCGATTAGGGGGTGATGTCGGATCGATTTGGATATTTAATTTTTTATCCTATTTAATCTATGCAAATATTTTGTTTTATAATTCATATTCAATATGTATAAAAAGAATATTCGAATAGAAGCGATTCACATAAATTCATATTGGTTATTAGGATTTTTTGTAGGTTTTGATTTCAATTTTAAATTTTTTTAAATTGGGATTTTGATCGAATCAGAATTTGGGTTTTTATTCAATTAAATAAAATAATGATATATAGTTAAAATATGTTTTAATTATATATTTTAATTAAAATCGATAAATATTTTTAAACAAATTGAGTTAAAAAAAGATTATCCAAATAAAATAATCTACCAAAATAACTAGCATCAATTAAAAGGAACCTTGAGCTATACCTAACCTTGTCTTATTGACAATTGCTTCCATATGAGCTATACCTAAGTTCTGTTAATACCAAAAATTGAACTTACCTTAAAGATCCATGGTGTTTCTTGGAGTTAGAGACTAAGAGTAAGAGGAACCATGACTCCATGAGCGTGAGATGAAGCCTAACTCTTGAGGGCTGAGGGGGAACAAGACAACACAGTTTGAAATTTGAAATAAAAAGAGAGTTTTGACTTGGAGTTTGAGAGCAAGTGTTAATATCGGCAATGAAGTTAAAAAAAATGGTGAATAGCTATGAAGGAGCAGCGTTATATATGAGAGTTGAGAAATTAAGAGTGAGACTTGGGGTTAAAAACTGAAAAGCCTAAAATATTTGTGTTGTTGGCAAAGAGTCCACGAGAGAGATAGAGTGATAGTGAATGGGTTTTTTTTTATATTATTATTATTATTAACAAAACAAGTTAATGAACTTTTCGGGTGGGTAAGTGAGCAATAAGTGCGCCAAATTAAATGTTTTGAGTTGGGCTTTCAATTTGACAAATGGATTTTTATCCTGTTTGCAATTTTAATTTTTGAATTTTTTCAGTTTGAGCTCATTCGAAAAAATATGATCATAAAGGAATCAAATTGATCCAAATTAATGATTTTGATGATATCATCTATTTGAATCTAAACTAAATTACTTAAAATCCAATAGTATCAATCCAAATCTCTTGATTCATGTCAATTTTTTTTTATTTTTTTCTCAACACTAGTATTGAAATGTGTTTGTTAAAGTTAATTAAATTAATTTTATTTTTAAAAAAATATTTTTCTTTAATATAATAGGATCATGAAATTCAAAATGAGTTAATATACAAAGGGTTTATATTTGATATATTGACAATATATCTATGTATGAATTTCATATGTTGTCAATCATCTGGATGTTATCACATCATCAATAAATAAGTCTAAAACTTATAAAGATAAATATCTTTATATTTTAATTATTTAGCTTACAAAATCATTAATTTTATTTTAAAGTTTTATCTTTATTTTTTAACAAGGTATCATTATTTAATTAAGAAATAGTGCATAAAAGTTATATACTATCAATACATTAAATATAAATCTTTTTAAAAATTGTAATCTTAAACTATATTCCATAGTTCAGTAATAAAACTATAGTCTAATATAAAAAAATACAAATTTTCATAATATTGTGGTCAAAAAGATATATATATATATATATATATATGAGACTGTAATAGAAAAATGTAGTCTAAGTCAGATATCTAAAAACAAATTGTCATAACGTCTAAATCCGGGATCTATCACTA